GTACCCAGTGACGCCTCTCTGGGCAGCCGAGTCTCTAGATAAACCATCCTTCCACTTCACAGAGCCATACAAGCATTCTCATTTGGGAAGCTCTTCTCTATGGCACGTAACTTAAAAGCCTCCATTGTGTCTTCAAGGGAAACGAGCTTGCCTGGTTTGTAGAGCTTCAGGGCTAACCCAAAGGTCATGCCTTTCTGAGGGTTGGAATTCACCAGCAACTCCTCAAGGAGAAAGATGAGCCATCTATGCCCTCAGTGTGATTTACAGCCTCCAGACATCTGCTGGAGGCTCGTTATGAGTCAGTCCTGACTCAACTGGCAATAAGGATTTACTATTTGCTAAAAACACCCCTGAACCACCCTGCTTTCCTGGGTGGGGGGAGGGGGGGTAATTGCTCTTTGAGCCTACTTCCTTGTAGTTTCCAGAAGGATGAGAAGAAATGGTAGGCTTGATTTATTTATTTAGTACAGTAGTATACTGAAGTACACGCCATAAATCCTCTGTGGAACAGGCACGCCATAAATAATAAAATATCTGGCTTCTTAATTTTCCTAACAATGTTAACACTACTACTGGCCATCTGGAACATAACGTCTGTCTTTTCCATCAACAGCACAGAAGACGCACTTGAGACTTTATCCTGGCTCCCTTTTCTGTACCGTGAGCTACTCGACGCTTCTCAAAAGACAGGTGAGCGGAATGAGATTTCAGACAGACTGACTAAGGGATGTGTTAGACATTCTTTAATTTCCGTTCCAAAAGTTCTATTCCTGTTCTAAATTAGATCATTAGGAAGTAACAAAGTTGGCTCTCACCTCGGCTCTCCACAGAAATCTCTCCATTCAAGACCTTGTCCTCGGCTTTTGAAAGCTGATCTTTTTTCCTTCCCTTTTTTTTTTTAAAGGCACATGAAAAACTGTTCCGAATCGTCTAATGAGACTGCAAGATGCCAGAGATGTTTTGGCAATCTTGCATGCTTAACATTAAAAGTGCTGTGAGAATGAGAAACTAAATAGATGTTGAAGACAAGGAACGAAGTACCCAGGTAAACTACACCCACATGTAGCAAGTAATAAAGCTTCTATGAAAAGAAATCTAATTCTATGAAGCCACAAAATTTGCTTTATATGATTTCACCGTGTATGTATGACTAATAAAACTTAGAAGAAAAGGCCTTTTAGAACCATGTCTTGAAAGTTAATGCATATGGGGTTGAATTGTGTTTTCCACAAATACAAAATGAAATTCTAAACTCTGATATCTGATAAAATGACCTTGTTTGAAAAATAGTGCCTTGGAAGGTGTTATCAGTAAAATGAACATGATGAACATGAGGTTGTAGTGGAGTAGGGTGGGTCGCAATTTAACTTAAATGGGAAATAGACACACACACACACACACACGATAGCTATGTGAAGATGCATCTACTAATCAGAGATTGCCAGGAGTCACCAGAAGCAAGGAGAGAAAAAACAATTTCTTTCTCAGAGCCCTCCAGGGAAACAAACATGGCTGACTCTGATTTAGACATAGAGTCTCCAGATTTGTGAAACAATACACTTCAGTTGTTTCTCTCGTGGCTTAGTGGTAAAGAATTGTACTGCCAACTCAAAAGAACAAGGTGCTCTGCAAGAGAAAGATAAGCAGTGTTCTCCTGAAAACTTGCTAGAAAACAGCTATGAGTTGGTTCTGAGTTGACCACACTTAATAACAATGACAATTTGTGAATAGAGATAAAATATTTATGAAGAAAGGATACAGCCCTGCTCTCACACTTTTCTTGATTTTAAACCATGCAGTATTCCCTTGCTCTGTTCAGAAAACAGCTTCCTGGTGTAAGTCTGGGTTTCACATGAGTACAATTATGTGTTCCGGGGTTCTCATTCTTCTCAATATTACCCACAGTTTGTTATGGTTTACATGATCAATGCCTTTGCATGGTCATTAAAAGACAAGTAGATGTCTTTCTTAGCTTTCAGTCAAGATCTGTCTTTCATCAGCAATGATCCCTGGTACTATTAGCCTCTTCTGAATCTAGTTTCAATTTCTGGAGTTCCCTGTTGATGTACTATTCCAGTCATATAAAAAATAATCTTTAGCATGATTTTATTGGCATGTGCTATTAACAATATTGTTTAATATTTCCCAGATTCTATTGGGGAACCTTTTTGGGGAACAAGAATAATGTGGCATCAGAATCTGAGGAAGATTCATCAACAAACCTGTGTTATGGAGATGAGACAAACGTCCTTGCTGCAAGTGAGGAGGACTTGAAGTGCTTGCTGCAAAGGTCATGGACTACAGCCTTCAGTATAGATTATATCTCAATATTGAACAGACAAAAATCTTCACCACAGAGTCAACAGGCAACATCGTGATAGATGGAGAAAAGATAGAAATTGCCAATGAGTTTCATCTTACTTGGATAAAAAATCAACAACCTTGGTGCCAGCAGTGACAAAATGCATTGGGAAAGTCTGCAGATAGGGACCTTTCTAAAGACTAAGGTGTACCTGATCCAAGCCATGGTCTTTTCAATTACTTGCTATGCCTCTGAGAGTTAGACAGTGAATAAAGACAACTGAAGAAGAATCGATGTCTTTGAGATGTGGTGCTGGAGAAGGGCACTAATATCCATGGACTTCCAAGAGAACAAACATGTTATGTCTTGGAGAGAGTGCAACCATTGATGCTCCTTGGAAGAAAGGATAGTGAAATTTAGTCTCGTAAGTCTTTGGGCATGGTGTTAGGAGGGCTCAGTCCTTGTAGAAAGGGATCATACTAGGAAAACTGAAGAGTTAGCGAAGGGGAAGTCCCTCCATGTGATGGGTTGACATAGAGACTGTAACAATGGGCTCTATCTAGTATGGCAGAGATGACGAGGATGGTACAGGGTAGGGCAAGGTTCAGATCCGTTGCCACAGGGTTGCAATGTGTCGTGAGTGACTTGATGACAGCTAACAACAGCACTTGTGAATTCAGCAACCCTAGTGGTGTAGTCTTTAAGGAGCTGTGCTGCTAAACCTGAGCCTCTCTGCTGGTTTGAATCCATCAGTAGGTCTGCACGAAAAAGAGGGGGCACTCTCTTCTCATGTGCTTTACAGCCTTAGAAAAACCACTGGAGGATCAGCTATGAGTTGATTCTGACTTGACAGTAATGAGGGGTTTTTGAAAGTGATTAAAACAACATTCGCTATCTCCGTTTCTAAATGCCCTAGCAGAAGTTAGAATTCTTCCCTGGACACTTGTGAGTTAAAGTAAGTCCAGAATAGTGATGCTGCCAACTTCTGCACCTCCAGCTGCCCTGCTTGGCAGTCCAGAACGGGTTATCTTCTGTCAATTCCTGAAAGATGACAAATCCAGAGGGAAACAGGAAGTCTAGAAGGCTCTGTGCAACTGGCACCAGAGCATACACAGTTTCAAGGCACTGAAAGTTATATTTGAAATTTAAAAAAAAAATCCTTTATAGCTGACTGCCAAGATAACAGAGGATTTAAATTATTGTTAGAAAACTTTTGCGACTAAAACACCTACCGATCTTGGAACTAAAACAACAGTTGTAGAGAAACTAGGACAGCAAAGGGCACCTAGTTACTACCAGGAAATTGACAGCAACCTGAGACTAGAAACAACCAGTCTATTACTAAATGCAGTGCAATCTCTTTTGAAGAGCCTAGTGTTCTAGAAAGAGGATATATACTAAAAGTGGAATCATGCCCCTAGAAATCTAACATAGCTGCTACAAACGCTGATATATTCTCTTGTGTAACTCCACGACTATCCATCCCACAGCACCAGCACCCTTTATCATACTGAGAATTTAGGATGAGCAAGGGTCAAAAAGCAAGAAAGACACTAAGAGCCAAGTATTTTGGGTTCATTCCAACAATTCCATTCATTATTTCTTTCAGTAGATTCTCCTGACAGAAATACGGGTTTAGGAAAGGGGATGGAAGCGGGAGAGAGCAGAGATCCCTCAGGATGCCTAGAGGTCCCTCTAGGAACGGTCCAGTTTGTCCAGGGTGCAGCCCTCTCAGCCCACTGCCTGGCCACTCCGGGCCACTGAGATGCTGGAGAGTCCCTGCTGGCCTCGCGTGATGCGCTGCGTAAGGTAGCGAAGGTGCTCAGGGCCTCTCCCTGGTCTCCTCCCGGACATCAGTCCAGCTGCAGACCCCTTAGAGGGGCGATCAGCTCCTCCAGGCCTTTGCACTCGTGGAGAGCTCCTGCTGGCCTCGGGACCCAGGGCGCACTGCTGCGCTCTCCAAAGCAGCCAAGGTGCTCGCGCCCCCGTGGAGGGGCGCCCCCGGGGGAAGAGCTGGGAGCCCCGCCCCAGCAGCCGCATCCCGGCGGGGCGCCCGCCCGCGCGATAACCCGG